TGCTGTTAGACACACTGAGAACAATGGGATTCAGTCCGAATTGGATAAAATGGCTGGGGGCTATACACTCGACACCTACAGCTAGACTCAAAATAAATGGTCAATTATCAAACCCAGTCCACATTGGGAACGGCACGAGACAGGAGTGCCCTCTATCCCCTCTTTTATTTATCTTAGTAATGGAACCCTTCCTACAAGGTATATGGGATAACCCTGCTATCCAGGGGATGAAAGTGGGTGCGGACGAACACAAAATAGCGGCCTTTGCAGATGACCTGCTTTTCGCAGTCTCTTACCCTATAGAAACAATGCCACACCTCCTTAAAGAAATCGCAAGTTATAACGAACTATCAAACTTCCAGGTTAACTATGCCAAGAGTGAACTCCTGGCACTGAACATAACGCCTGGGCGTTTTGCTTCCTTGCAAAGACATATGAGCTTAACTTACCACCACTTCTGCAAGCAGTGGCTCGTGTTCTCATGCAATGGCATAAACCACACTTCGGCTGGTTGTGCCGGGTAAATATCTTAAAAACGAATGTGCTCCCATGCTTTCTATACTTACTACAAGCGCTTCCGATCCTTCTCCCAAAATCCTTTTTCACAGAATCTAGGAACCTATTTACCTCATTCATATAGGCTGATAAACATCCCAGAATCCCTTTCCTAACCCTGACCAGACCTAAATCCCTGGGGGGGAGGGGATTTGGGGGGGTTGGGACTCCCTAACCTTGAAACATATCACAAAGCAGTATGTCTAACAAGGGTCTACGAGTGGTCGAACTCTAATGCCACAAAACAATGGGTGTGTCTGGAAGCCTCAATGTTCCAGGCATCGATATACACAATTCCCTGGCACAAGTCAGGCAGAGCATTTGTACACCCGCAACACACCACTCACCCAACTATCATTCCTACCATGAGGAGCTGGGTGAACACGACAAATCTAAAATCAATCTCGGCTCACCCATCCCCTTTACATCCACTAACCCAGAACCCTCTATTTCAATCGGGACTCCCTCCAAACATATACGAGACATTCCACTCCAAAAGGTACTTGACTCTCGGAGCTATGCAACACACATCAAGGATTACTCTGTTTACTACATTACTAGCAGATGGAAATCCCATGGCGCTGCAACAGTTTAGATATGCCCAACTGACACATTTCCTCATGTCCTCGCCCGACTTAACCACCACCAAGCGGGACAGCACCCAGTTCGAAACATATTGCACAACACAAAAGACCACCTGTAAACATATCTCTATCTTCCATGCACTGATTTGTCAGGACCTCTACCATACACTTCCATGGTACACTCATACTTGGGCCAAAGACCTAGCAATTGACATATCCCGAGAAGACTGGATGAAAATATTTCTTCGAACACACAACTCCTCTACCAACTCCTGCACTCAGGAAGGGAATTACAAATGACTTATGAGATGGCACTATGCGCCAGCTTGATTACACACCCTTTTCCCAACAACATCTGACAAATGGTGGCGGTGTAATCAGGATAATAGCACCATAACTCACATCTGGTGGACATGCCCTAAAGTTGTTCAATATTGGGAAAACATAATTAAACTTATCCCTCTATAAAAAGACCTGGGACCCATGGATGGATTACATGCAGAACGAACCCAGATTCTAAATCGCAATGACCCATCCTAGGTTCCCTCCAGACGTACTATAAGCGTAGTACCCCACCCTTCCACCTTTCTGCCCTCACAGCTCTTTTCGTTCCTGCCGCTGGCTAACAATATGGTGGGGTTAGGGATGCAGAGTTTGCAGAGTTGGGGACACAGTTGAACCCGCTATGATGGACTCAGCCAAGTCTGCCGCTATACCCTCCCCTGACTGGGAATAAGTTGACAAACCGAGGCATCTGTCCTCAAGCTTAGAAAAAATTCTAAAACTAAATCCTGTCATGGTATATCACAATTTGTTAGCTTCCTGTTTTTTTTTCATTTCTATTCTTTCTTTTCTCCTCTTAAACCCAGTACTAATTCTCATTATATACTTGGTGGATCTCCATGCAATATAATGGTTATTTGTTTTGCATTTGTTATTATTTTTTATATTACAATGTATGACATCTGCAAAATGGACACAGTATATTTGCTTCAACTGTTTTATATTTTGTCGTTTAAAAAAAAAAAAGTTCTTCTATACCACTCGCAAAGACATTTAACATATGTTTCCGTATACTTACACGTATGTCTACTAATGTATGTATAGTGTTTTTAAAAACCTCTGACAAAACGTGTATGACAAATGTACCCAATATTATGCTTTCGTATTGTTATGTACTATTTTGGATGACCAATAAAGTGTAAAAATAAAATAATATATATATATATATATATATTTTTTTTTTTTTTTTTAAGTTAAATACAATAAGCTAAAGCGGCACTGTCATGCCGAACTTACCTTTCTTTAATCGATTCCTCTTCTCTCCCTCTCTCAGGATCTGTTCTTCATTTATTCTTGTCTGCTCTAGTTTTCTTTAAAACATAAGACAAAGTAGGGACTATTTGTCTTATGGAGGTTCCTTACGCCGGACCATCTCTGACCAGCTGAGGAGCAAAGTGTGCATCATTTCCGGTGGTCAGAGACATTTTCCCACAATTCTTAGCTTACCTCCCTGTTCCCGCAATGCATCCTGTCAGTATTCCCGAATTTCCTGTCACTTAGACAGGATGCCAGCAAAACTACCGAATTGCGTCCTAACAGAATGAGAACAGTTTCTCCATTTGTGTTAGAACGCAATTCAGGACTTTGTTCGAATCGGAATTTCATTTGAATGAATGATTCAGGTCTGGGGAAGGGGCGGGCCAGTCCATAGCATCAATGCCTTCATCTTGGAGGAACTGCTGACACACTCAAGCCACATGAGGTCTAGCATTGTCTTGCATTAGGAGGAACCCAGGGCCAACCACACCAGCATATGGTCTCACAAGGGGTCTGAGGATCTCATCTCGGTACCTAATGGCAGACAGGTTACCTCTGGCGAGCACATGGAGGGCTGTACGCCCCCCCAAAGAAATGCCACCCAACACCATTACTGACCACTGCCAAACCGGTCATGCTGGAGGATGTTGCAGGCAGCAGAACATTCTCCATGGCATCTCCAGACTCTGTCACGTCTGTCACATGTGCTCAGTGTGAACCTGCTTTCATCGGTGAAGAGCCTCAAGAGACAGAGGACGGAATCAACTGATACGCGACAAGGGGAAGACCACCTACCCGCTCAGCGGACCTGAAGAGACCACAACACTAGGACTTTCCAGGGAAGTTATGCAGCTAACGTCGCATCCCAAAACTAAAAGGACAGAGTCAAACCGTGAACTATGTTAGACCCCCTGTACGCAGCATCAGGCCCCATCCGACTCACCCAAAACCCTCATCACCTAAAGCCCGAGTAGTGCAGGGTAACTGGCAGACAAAATGACCGCCGACACAAATGAAAGCTGAGCTAGGCTTGATATCAAGACATTTACCTCCATGACACTCCTCCTAGACACAATGAGAAGTACGAGAGACTTGCACGGACCAGATCGTACGCATACATACTCAATGTTTATCTGTAATGTAATGTTTTATGATGAACACATGCTAACTCAAGATCCCTGCACACATGAAGGGGGTAGTTAGACAGCATAAATTCATAGCTGCTTCACCCACACAAGGCTAAACCCAGGGGAGTGGAGGGATTGTTGTTTTGTTTTTTTTTTTTTGTTTTTTTAAGGGAAAGGAAAGGGGAAAAAGAGAGAAAAAAGGGAAAAAATATATATAAATTAAGAAAGCATGACATTTCTACCCTGGAACCTAGCTTCTACCCTCCCCCACCCCTCACCCCATGATGCAGCAACTGAACTCACAATCACCTCTAGCACCAACCGAACACAACAAGCGCAAGTGCCTGCTTGCCCACCGACACATGCATACACATCAATAGTACTGCGCATACACTCTCGAAGCCACACAGGCTGTACCACTACTATCTACACACCTCACGCTCCCTCAGAACTGGTGGTGTCAACTGAACCATCCTCAGTGATATCTGAATCATCACAGAGGCAGACGCCAGCCGGCAATCCACTCACACCGCTGCACAACCACAAACCGGTTCATCATACATAGTTTCGTCCGGAATGCAGATTACCCGGATGGGGGATCCCACACCTCCAGATAACTTTGGCAGAGTTTAAGACCAGAGTCTAAGTTTATGTTTACTTTCTGTTTGTTAATGTTGTTTTTTTCCTTTTGCTGAAAAGGTTCAACACAAAACGATCACACAGACAAGGGTAACCCCCAAAACACGGTCGCAGCTGCCCATGACCCGGAACAGGGAGGCCCATTCGTGAAAAGAGGGAGTCAGACTACACAGCACATAAGGTAACCACTAGGGCCCAACACTATACCCCTTGCGTCACACCCACATATGGCTTTAAAAATCGTTTCCCTCAATGTCAAGGGCCTAAATACCCCAAATAAGCACAGGCTACTGCTACGAGATCTGAAATTGCATAAAGTCGACATAGCCCTTATACAAGAAACACATACGTGTACTCGGCAGTCTGTGTGTATTTAGCAGTCTGTGTGTGTGTGTGTATTTAGCTGTCTGGATGCTGAAACCTCCACGCGTCAAGGAGCTGGGTATTGGTAAGGAATGTGTGCAGTAATTTATCCTTTGCTCCCCTCCCTTGTGTGTATTTAGCAGTCTCTGTGTGTGTGTACTCGGCAGTCTGTGTGTGTGTGTGTGTACTCGGCAGTCTGTGTGTATTTAGCAGTCTGTGTGTGTGTGTGTACTCGGCAGTCTGTGTGTATTTAGCAGTCTGTGTGTGTGTGTATTTAGCAGTCTGTGTGTGTGTGTGTATTTAGCAGTCTGTGTGTGTGTGTATTTAGCAGTCTGTGTGTGTGTATTTAGCAGTCTGTGTGTGTGTATTTAGCAGTCTGTGTGTGTGTATTTAGCAGTCTGTGTGTGTGTGTGTGTGTATTTAGCAGTCTGTGTGTGTGTGTATTTAGCAGACTGTGTACTCAGCAGTCTGATAAATACAGACAGACTGCTAAATACACATACACACAGACTGCCGAGCACACACACAAACTGCTTAATACACACACAGAGATGTTAATTAGTTCGGACAACTGTATGAGTTGTTTTTTCTAAACTTAAACCTCAGTATTCAGGTTTAATTGGCGTTTTGGCACTTTGAGGAAAAAAAAATTGGCATGTATTACGGTTTGGGCACTCGGGCTCAAAAAGGTTCGCCATCACTGCCCCAGACCTACGAAGCAAAAGCGTTACATAAATGCGATGGCGTAGCACTGCTAGTGCACAAAAATTGACCACTTCAAGTGACAGGGACACAAGCTGACCCAGAGGGCCGCTACATAGCTATAACGGGTATGATACACAGCACAAAAATACGGATCATAAATGTATACGCCCCTAATGCAGACGGGGGAGGGATAGTAATAATGGGGGGCAACTTCAATGCAGTGCCAAGCCCGGCTGTTGACAGAAGCACTTAAACCGGTTCACCTAGGTCCCAAGGGAGGGGAGCAAAGGATAAATTACTGCACACATTCCTTACCAATACCCAGCTCCTTGACGCGTGGAGGTTTCAGCATCCAGACACATGCGACTACACGTTCTATTCAGTGCCCCACGGCACATATTCGAGAATTGATCACATATTTCTAAACGGTGTAGGGATGTCCAAACTCACGCATACCGACATCGGCAGCATCACCTGGTCAGACCATGCGGACATATCAATCACACTAGACAAACTCAAATACTTCGCCACTTGGATGGCGCCTTAACACAAGCCTACTAAACAGCGACACAATATGTGAAGACACACGCACACTCAACAAGGAATACGTCACACAAAACACCACACCCGAGGTAGATCCAGTAGCGATTTGGGCGGCCCATATAGCGGTCTTGAGAGGGCACTTCATAAAAGTGGCAACGCACAAAAAGAAATACAACACCCGAGCACTTTTAGAATTCCAGGCTGCCCTGAGAAAAGCAGAATAGCAGCATAAACAAAATCCCACAGCTGAAAAATTAGCCGAACTCACTGCTCTAAGACACTCAATCAGGGAGATCTTGAGATACAAAGATACAAAGTCGGATACAAAGGCAGCTACCGAATACACCAATCCACCGAACAGGAAAACCATAAGCCCTGCAGACTGAACCTCTCTTCTTGCAGAGAGCGAAGCTGGAACAAGCTCTTAAAAGAGCTTAGTGATTATAGCTAGGGGATTATACCAAGTATAGCAATCCCCCAGTGTAGATGCAGTCGTATCCCCCAAATCATGAGACAAGGCTCTATGTTGAGGGTCAAAACAGGAACAGAGCTGTGTTTTTATTGTTCTTATATACACATTCTAACACATTAGTACCACCCACAGGGTTTTGTGGAACATCCAATCAAACACGTAATATACAGTAAAACACTCCCATTCATTCCAGCGAAATCCTCCCCTCTGCCTGTGATATAATTACTGAACACAATGGGCTAACGTAATTATCACAGGCAGGAAAATACACAGTTTTACACAATATTCATAACTTTAAAAGTATACATCACATTCACATTTTCCGAATCAGCATACTCTAAATACAAACATACTCAAAAATCAGACAATTCCCTCCAGTGGTTTAAAAGTTAGGTCGAAGTCCTTTGTGACCAACTGCAAGCATGGCTTGACAGCCCAAACCAGTTTCACAGAGTTAGGCTGTGCAAGATAATTGGCTTAACTGGGTGTGGTAAGCCAACTATTTCCAGGTATAGAAAATCTCTCTATTCACAACAACAGCAAAAATTCACAAAAATACATAACTCCTATCATACTGAACAGAACCCCCACATTCAACCTATCCCCAGATGGCTTGGATCTGAGCGCTCAATATATCCAAACAGCGCTCAGATTCCACAAACACAGTCAAATCGCCATGGGATTTAAGTTTAGCATGGGCTGATGAGAGGGGGCCATAGTCCCCTCTTCTTTTTGTTTTAGCATTTGAACCTTTCTTAGAAGCCATACTTCTCCATAACCCAGGGAAGCAGGGCAATTCGTCATAAGAGAAAATAGGGACAAAAGGAGTTTTGTAACACAGGCTTCTCCAGTGCCCAGTGGCGAGGTTAGTTTCACCACAGGCAGAAACAGTACTTCAAACCCCAATTTGCATAATTAGTGTTTTTAAAGGGCAATACATCCCAGGGGCCATAGTCACAGGACAAGAGGATGGCAAGCAGGCCTCTCCAAAAACCAGTGGCGAGGTCACTTTCGTCACACGTTCCAAAGAACATTGTAACAGTTTTGTCAGTGTTTAGGAAGAGTTTGTTATCTGCTATCCACTTTTCTAGCTTGGGTTTACTAGCGTAGATTACAGTGTTGTCTGCATAAATGTGTACAGTTGAGGATTTGCAGACTTTTATAGATCATTTATAAATAATGTGAATAGCAGGGGGCAGAGTATGGATCCTCGGGGAACACCCCACGTGGCTGGAAGAGGGAGGGAAGCGCTATCAGAAATGGCCACATATTGCAATCTGTCTGAAACAGACGATAGAAACCAGGTTAGTGGACGATCACCAATATCTGTTTTGTTTGGTTTTTTTTACATTCTTTATTTTGTACTTTTGACATTTAAACAGGAATAGTAACTAGTAGTGATACATTAATGTTGCCAGTTCATAGCTTGCAATGAAATAAACAGTGACCCCCGAGGCCATAGCCCATGTGACCTACGATTCAATATCTGAGTTTTTATGTTTTTGCGAAAGAATGCCATGGTCTACTGTGTCAAAGGCCTTGGCAAAATCAAGGAAAATAGCACTAGTTAAGTCTCCTTGCTCCATGCCAATTTGGATGTAATTGCTAACGTTTAAGAGGGCAGTCAAAACTGAGTGATTTGGACGAAAGCCTGGTTGATCAGGGGTCAGATAATTTGATCATTAATGATATTCACAAAGTTGCGTGTGGACGCATTTTTCCAAGATTTTCGACAATACCGGGAGCAATATTGGGGCGATAGTTAGATACCAAAGTATTGTCACCACTTTTATGGATAGGTACAACTTTTGCAGTCTTCCAAAGTTTGGGTATGTATCCTGGAACCAGGGATTAATTGATAAGGGCAGTGACAGGTTTAGCAATTGCAGGCTCACTGAACTTCAGCAACATTGCTGGGATTTCATCTGGTCCACACTGGTTTTTCATTTTTAAATTTAACATTTTTAACATGCTAAAATTGAATTTCTCTATATGAGGATTTTGAAGATTTGGCAGGGCCTGATCTTTATTTGCGGTCTGAAAATGAGTGTCATTTGTTATCTACGCAACCAGGGTGGTAGCACATCCCACAAAATAATTATTAAAGGCATTTGCTACATCTAGAGGGTGTTGCAGTGTTTGGTTGTACATTTTGACAGTGGAGGGTTAGGAGTGGAATGTGGGGGGTTTGTATGCTATTTATGATTTTCCAGAAGTTTCTTGGGTTTGATAGGTTGTTCAAATGTTCACTGAAATATTGGGCCTTTGCCATTTTTGTTTGTTTTGTGCATGCATTTTGCCATTGTCTGTAAGTACAGTGATCGTTCATTGAGCCAGTATGCTTAAACTTTGACCACAGTGAATCTCTAAACTGGTACATTTGAATGTCAGCTGTAACCCAGGGCAGGTGTGTCCCTTTTAGTTGCACTTTACGCAAGAGTTTGGACTGAAAAGATGCCATTGCAGAGTCTACATATGGTATTAGACCTAATCTGTGCCATGGTATGTTTTTAAGATCATTTAAAAAGGATTCAAGATTACATTTTTTTTAAAGACCTGGTGATTATAATCTTGGGAGGGTATTTAGTGGCTTTTATTTTGCGTATGCAGTACACTAGACAGTGGTCGTTGAAACTGTTAGGGAGAACGCCCGCCTCCTGGATTCTGTCAGGACAACTGAAGAGAATCCAATCTAGCAAGGTATGGTTCTGGCTTTTAATATTAATGCGAGTTGGGGAGTAAAGTAATTGTATTAGCTGCAAAGTCTTAAACAACGTACATGATTTATTATTTTATTTTAGGATTCAGCCAAACAATATTAAAATCTCTAAAAACTAACAGTTCACTTTTTTGGGTTTGGAGCTATAGTTTCACTTAGTAGTTGGGCTAGGTCAGAAAGGGAAAAAGCATAAGGGGTCTAGAGTGTGTAAAGGGAACTTAATAGGGGGTAACCCTAGAAATAGAATACATAAAACAAAGAAATGACCAATGGACATAAAATCCAGAGGACAAAGTAAAGTCCCTATATGAATATAATGTAATTAACTAAATTTATTTATATATGTTAAAAAAGGAACTGTAATTAAACCAAAAAGACAAAAAAAAACTACTAAAAAAGGAAACGTATAAACACAAAATAAAGGGTCATAAGTTCTAAGTAAGAAATGGGGTAGAGGAGGTTAAGGAGCAATTGTAATGACATTATATTCATATAGGGACTTTACTTTGTCCTCTGGATTCTAGGTCCATTGATAATTTCTTTATAGTTTTATGTCAGAAAGGGAGTGTACCGCAGAACTAGGTGGACGGTAGATTCCAGCAACAATGGTAGTTTTACTGATAAGGATCTCAATTGTGCCAGAAAGGAAATCAAAGGCAGGAGGGGAGTTATAGTTTTTTAAAGGCGTAAATTGTATGGACTTGTCAACATAAATAGCAATGCCTCCTCCTCTCTTTGCTCTGTCATTTCTAAAACATGAATAAAACTGTATTGCAATGGTAATGGCAATGGTCTGGTATATTAGTTGTTAACCATGATTCTGAGAGCACAATGATTTTTGGTTTGTAATGGGAACACCAGACTTGTAGTGCATCCAGTTTGGGGAGCAAGCTACGGATGTTGCAGTGCACAAAAGAGAGGCCTCTTTTTAGTGGGGAGATTAGAACTAGAATTAGCTTAGGGGCCATGGTTAGACTCCACATCATTTTCAAGGGCAAGTAACATAAGGAATAGGAATTTGGACATCATTTGTTTGTCCATATAGTTAATGGGATACTTTATAATTCCGTGTGTGGGGGTAG